TGGATGTACATGTATAGTCATTTCTGATAAGCTGTTCCCTAACCCTCAAGAAACTCATTCCTCTGCTATCCTTTCAGACTGCTTGGGCCGTACAGACACTTTTCCTACCATCCGTTGTTACATTAGGTCTAAATGGTTCACAGGTTGGTCTGAAGCCGTACTAGCTCCCATCACTTCTTGCTCCGTACTAATAGGTAATGTAAAAGGTGCCATTCTTCCTTCTGAGGTTGACCTTTCATCACCAAAGATGGACATAAGTTTTTCAGCTCCTCTTCCTGTAAAGTCGGAAAAGCCCCTCGACAGTTCAGATGAGGCAATGTCTCATGATATTCATGTGGGGTTAGAAACCAGTGATACTACTCTCGAAAGCGAGATAGTAGAATCACCGGTTCACTTGTTAGATGAAAGTGAGAATACCGCCTCTGATACTATGTCTTGACTAGGACTCAGACCAAAGCCCAGGCTTCTCCTACTGTCCATCCTTTGATTTTCCAAAGGAAAAACTTTTCATATAAATTTGAATATATAAGAAGTATCTTGTATAAATCACTATTCAAAGTAAATTCAGATGAGATAGACTATTCCATCTTAGTTGTTCCAACTCAATGCAGAGAGACTGTTCTTAAAATGGCTCATGACCTGCCAGTGGCCAGACATTTCTCACATCGTAAAACCTTAAATAAAATTAGGGAAACCTATTTTTTTCCCAAAATGTCCTCAGATATCACTACATATTGTAGATCATGTAAAGTTTGCCAACTGTCATCCTCCCGAGGTACCAGGCGAGTACCTATGGTCAAAATGCCAATCTTAACGGTACCGTTTGAAAGAGTAGCTATTGACATCGTTGGTCCTTTATCACCACTTTCATCTGGGGGACATAGATACATTTTAACATTAGTTGATTATGCTTCGAGTTTCCCTGAAGCCGTTCCCTTAAAGACCATAACTACTACAGAGGTGGCTGAAGCCCTTTTGTCCATCTTCTCCAGAGTTAACATCCCTAGAGAAATTTTGTCTGACCGTGGGACACAATTCACATCTGACTTAATGCAACATCTCTACCAACTTCTGGGAGTGAAGCCTCTCTTCACCACACCCTATCATCCCAGCTGTAATGGGAGGATTGAGCGCCAGCATTCGGTTCTCCAGTCCATTTTAAGGAAACTTTGCTCCCTTAAACCTAAGGAGTGGCATCGTTACCTACCCTGTGCTTTGTTTGCCATGAGGGAAGTTCCCAGTGACTCTTTGGGGTTTTCACCTTTTGAAATTCTCTATGGTAGACAGGCCAGAGGTCCATTGTCCATCCTTCATGACTTATGGACTAATGAGGAGGTAAATGCTGAGGTTCAGTCTTATCAGTTTCTCCTTGACCTTAGATCCAAACTTGAGGAGACCTCTGACATAGTTTCGGGAAACTTAAGCTTATCAATGGACCAGTACAAAACCTATTTTGATACAAAAAGTCAGGAGAAGTTTTAAAGTAGGGGATGAAGTTCTGGTACTTTTAAAAATAAAATCAAATAAATTATTAGTAGCATGGAAAGGTCCGTATAAGGTATTGAAAATTTGTGGGAAAGTTGACTATCTCATAGAAGTCAAGGGGAAACCTAAGCTTTGTCATATCAACGTTCTTAAGAAATATTACCGAAGAAATTCGGATAACTGCCTGAATGACTTTGATTTAGTTTTTCCACACAAACTTGATAAGACAACTGAGGAGTGTAAGGTGTATGTGATTGACACCTCTAACGTAGACTATGACAGAGAACTACATGATTTGGTGACTCTTGACCACTCGGGTGCAACAAACATTAATATTAATGAGTCTTTGGATGGCCATAAGAGACATGAAACTACTTCAATGTCTTCAGACGTTTTTACTGATATTCCAGGTGTCACCTCCACGGTAGTCCATAAGATTGACTTAGTCACGGACAATCCTATCAAACGGAAATTATACCCAGTTCCAGTTCACCTTAGGGATACATTTGACCGAGAGGTAGACAGGTTATTAAAACAAAAGATCATTGAACCTTCAGTATCTGCATATTGCTCACCAGTAGCCAAGGTTAAGAAGGAAGACAATTCATATAGACTCACTATTGACTTCAGAGGACTTAATGCTATAACTCGGTGGGATGCTGAGCCTATGCCCTTAATAGATAACGATCTACACAAATTTTATGACTTTCTTTTCAGAGATTTATATTGCGCAAGAATATCAAGTAATGTTAGATCCTTCTAAGCAGTACACCGCTTTTCCTACACACTAAGGACTGATGCAGTATAGAACTATGCCCTTCGGTTTGGTAACTGCCTGTGCTACCTACGTGAGACTGATGAGGAGGGTCTTGGGTAATATGCCAAATGTTTCAGTTTATTTTGATAACATTTACGTAATGACATCCACGTGGGGTGAACATATCCAAACATTAACATCAGTTTTGCGTAGGTTACGCTCACATGGCCTCACTGCCAAGCCGAAGAAATGCTTCCTTGGGTATAACAAAATTAGATATCTCTGATTCTTTCTAATAACTCTTTGCAACCTCTCCCCAGTAAGATCAAAGCTTCATTAGTTTAAATTCCCCAAAACGAAGAAGCTCATGCGTAGCTTTCTTGGTTCTGTAAATTTTTATGCACGGTTTATCCCCAACATTACCGATCTTACAGGCATCTTATCTGACTACCTTAAGAAGTCTTTGAAGGAACCTCTTGAACTTTCCGACATAGTTCGAGAAAGGTTTCATGAGATTAAGAACATTTTCTCGAAAGTCCCTATAATTAAGATTCCAGATATTAATAAGCCATTTTGTTTAAGAACTGATGCCTCCAATACTGGCTTAGGTGCAGTGTTACTACAGTATCATGATGGTACACCCTTTCCTGCATGCTTCCTAAGCCGGAAACTTATACCTGCAGAAACGAGATACTCCACCATAGAAAAGGAATGTTTGGCCCTTGTGTGGGGTATCTTCAAACTCTTTATTTACTGGGAAAAGAATTTATTTTGGAGACGGATCACAAACCTTTGATATACTAGAAACTTTTAAGGGAGCCAACAGTCACATCCTGAGGTGGACATTGGCACTCCAAGCTGACTGGTTAAGTCGTGACAGTCAGTACAAGATTTGGTACCTTATGCGACTTTCCCAGTTTAGAATTTTTTCCTCTCCTATTCTTCTTATACTCCTTGACTATAAGTCTTGGTATGGGGAAGTGTGAGAGAAAAGTTCAACAGATAGGAGTAGTGAGCTAGTATACGGTGATCGTTTAATTACCAGTCTGCTTGTTAAGGTAGGGTCAGTGTCTAGGTCCTGCTATCTCCCCGTTTTATTCCACCCAGAAAGGTGACGTGTGGGGCTCCGAGCAAATGGATAATCACTTGACTCACAGCTCCCAGCGCAACTGTAAATAAAAGTCTCTGCTCCTATTCTAGTGGATATACTGGTTAAAAGCTTCACTTTTAACCAGTTTTAAAAACTAGTTCTATCTGCCTTGATTTCCCTGTTTTACTTTTAAATCCTCACAATTCTTTTAAGTGCCTTTCACTTTTCATAGTGATTTCTCAAGCAGTGGTTAACTTTTGTCTCTTTCTAGCTTGGAATGTCAGCTTGGGTCATCTGGCAACCAAAGAAACAGCGTTGAAGGAGACTAACTTCAAATGAGTTCTGCGACGTCACCTTTTGATCTACATACCTGATGAGTGTAGCCATCCCCAGGCAACTACCCCTCATCTTTTCAGTGGTGAAAGACCTGCGTTCCTATCATCTTGACGGATTATTCAAGGCTAGATACACTGTGAAGAACTAGTCGTTGGGTTGTCACTCAACATCTGTGACCCCCCCCCCCCACAGCATCAGCAACGGCTACAATTTCTACAAGACGGTGTCAACATCAACCAGACACCCCAGTTTAACTGTACATTATTAGCGTTGAATTCAAATGTCATTTTTTCATTTCATTTTTCATCTTTCTTTCAAGTAGGATAAAAGTTCATATTTTAATGTTAAATATTTTCAATTCTAACAATAAAGTGTTTATAGTTGTAGGTTATTGTTCTTTTTTCTATTCATTAATTTTCCTAAGGAGGAGCCAGCCTTGGTAAGACCAACTTAAGATCTTACAGGGCTGAGTAAGCCTTCACAGTGGTTGAGTAAAGATATCAGATTTCTCAGATTCTGATGCGTTTTACGTTATATTCAAGATTTTAAGAAAAAGGGTTTCCCCATGCAAACAATTAAATTAAATAATCCGCAGTTTTGGACGGGCAGGGAGGAAAGGCGTCTAGTCCTCAGACCTGCTTGTTATATTATTTTCTGTTGTTTCAGACTATGGAACAATGCTCTTCTCCAGACTGAGGGACTGACCACCTCAAAACTTTAAGGGTGATGGACTGATTACATCGTCTTCAAGTATCTTCTGCTTCTATCAACTTTTCTGTACTCGACTGAAGAAGCCTACTGTGTAGGCGAAACGTTTCGAAATAAAGATACCTAACTGATGCATATGTGTCTTACCTAACAACCTGTCGGTATTTTATACCATTTTAATGTTCATATTATTTTCTGCTTGTGTCCAGATTTAATTCTAAGCCTCTGCTGAGTTAGGAAGGCAGATATAAGATGTGAACTGGTTCATTCAAGTACAAAGACGATCTTTCTTCATATCTCTAATGGAAACATAACGGAATCATACTCTTGGTCCACATCCGCTTTATCTTTTGTCGGAAGGAAGAAAGAGGGGTAGCAGCCCCCTACTGCTCGCCCCCCAGTTTCTTGTCCCCTGTTGGAGATAAATTTCTCCACAACACTAGAAATAGTTTACAAAACTGCCTTCAGGATTTTATTCTGCATTTAATTAATGGAATCACTGGTGGGCAAAACGTCTTCACATTAATAACTCCCAAATTTTGCAATTTTCTTATTCATCTTCACATACATTGTTGTTCACTAAGTTATGACTTTTAACATTTGTTACTGGCCACTGAAACAAAGTTAATATAACACCTCTTTATTCTTCTCTGTCTCACATTCAAGTTATCTCCATCCATAACTTTACATATATTTTCCTTAAGAATTCTACTTAATATTTCTTTGCCTACTTCATTAAGACGCAAACTGTCACCCCAAACACACTTACATTACAAACACTTAAATTACAAACACTTACATTACACTTTCATTACAAACACTTTCATTACAAACATGCATTACAAACACATTACAAACACACTTATATTACAAACATACACTACAAACACACATTACAAAAATACATTACAAACACATTACATTACAAACACATTACAAACACACATTACAAACATACAAAAAACACACATTACATTACAAACACACATTACATTACAAACACACATTACATTACAAACACACATTACATTACAAACACACATTACATTACAAACACACATTACATTACAAACACACATTACATTACAAACACACATTACAAACACACATTACATTACAAACACACATTACAAACACACATTACATTACATTACAAACACACATTACAAACACACATTACAAACACACTTACATAAACGAATTTTCCCTAAACATTTATATAATAAACATAAATTTTTAGTTTAACATATCCTCTTGTTTATTATTTGCTAAATTACTTTACCATGTTTTCACCATGTGGAAATAATCCGATCACATTATCAAGTTATTCATTTGTTAAAAACTTTTGACGTATGCCATTCATTGTATCGTCTGCAGCTTCATGAATAATGAACTCGTGAAGGTCGTATCATGACTGACGTTTTTTTCTCCCTACTTCAAACCCAACAGTGAAATCTCTAAAGTTAGCTCTTGTACCTCAAGAACTTTAATACTCTTGCAATACACAATTTAAACACATTTTTCCACACCCCAAAATCTCTCTACATGATTTACACAATTCAGTTTCACGTGTTTATATTCCACTTTTAACATATTAATAACTAAATTCCAGATGTTTCTAACAAACAGTGAACTATTTCCACATCTTTAAAAACACTCCCTTAACTCTTCCACGTCCTTCCAAACAATTAAATTACATTCCTTTACAACAACTCATTCACTAACTTCCATACCCATCTATTAGCTCATTAACTCTCTCCCCAACCTTCCATCCAGCTTTTAATTACATTTTCCTACCAACAGCGAAATAACTCATTTCCATATTTCAGCAACTCATTAGCTCACTAATACGAACGTCCAAATTGCCTTCACCTGTAACTAAATTTCACACCTAACTTACAGTCACAAATCAAACTTAACCTATCAGCTCACTCTTGCACAACTCCGACTCAAATATCACAGCATTAAGACACAGTTTTACATTTTACTAACACACACTCCTGTCTTGGAAGACACATAATCTACACTGCACCAACTGAGGAACGATGATAATAGGTAGCAAAATTTATTCTATGAATGGGTCATATTGTTTTTGTCTGTTATACATGAGAAGGGGATAACAAGTTCATTATAAATTATAACAACTCTCATTCCAAGAACTTTGCTTTCTTGGGAGGAGAGTTAAGCCCGTAGGGGCCCCAGAGAACCTGCGAGCTTGAAAAACAATTAATGGAAGGGGAGGTCAGGCTCGCATACCTTGAATCAAGAGCCCCTCGCCAACATCATCTAACGTTCCTTGAAGCAGAAATAAAAAATGTTTATTATATTACAAATCTAATAAAATGACAATTAAAACTTGAAGCAAATCTTAAATAAGATTTTGAAAATGATCATTCAGACATTTTTTTTCTGCACTGCAGTACATCAAGGTTATTTGCACTAAGAAGTGTATAAGCAGAGTTTACTGTAATCCGTGATTTAAGTATTATAACATTCTTGACTGGTAATGAACAAGGTTAGATTAAATTTCAATGATTCTCATGTAGTTAAGAAGCTTTAAGCACATAAACCAGCCAGTCAGTGCGACACAAACTTGTAATCATGACTAAGATTAAATCGAAGGCGGAAAATATTATCTGTTATTCTTGTTTAGCTTCTAGTCCCAGAGCTAACAACATTTTCGTCCTCCCTACAGTGTTCTCATCTTTACCTCTCATCCCAGGGATGATTTTTCTTAGTACCCGAGTTGCGTCATTTCTGAACTTTCTGCTCTGAGCATTGTAGATCCATGGGTTCCAGGCTGTTCCAGAGAGAAAGAGCCACCAGCAAATATAAGAAATCAGTTCATATTTGTAGATGCCAAGACCTTCTGTCAAGAAGATGAAAAATATGTCAATGTGTAAGGGGACGTTAGAGATAAAGAGGCACACAGTCATTACAATTTGAGTCACCAAAATGTGTCTATTTTCCTTATCTCTTGGCCCTGAATATCCCATATTATCTTTGTTCCATTCCCGAGACTCTCTTGCCTGTTTTTTTCTGGAAGGCCCAGATTGCTAGCACAGAGACAACAATAGTACAATAGCTGGGGTTTCTAATAGTCCCAAGCTGACTATTATGCAGTATCTATGAACAAGCTATCTGGATTGAAATACTGAGAAGAATATGGGAAGTTTGTTGAAAGTTGACCAGTGAGTTACAAAGTAGCCATCCCTGTGATACATGAAGAGGAGTGTGTCAAGGAAGCCAAGAACCCAAGTGAATGTTATTGCTGCCCACACCCGCCTCACTGTAAAGTATTCGCAGTACTTTGAGGGTCTACTGAAAAAACCCCAAACCCCTCTCCACGCTCAACAGAAAGAGTGTTAATAATGATACAATGGAGCATAGGCAGAACAAGAAAGCCTGAAAGAGAGGCAATCCCTCATCAAACGGTTTAATGTAAGGAAAAAAAATCGTATCGCCCTCCTTCATTAGGTATGGGCTGTCTATCGAAAGGCGATAAAAAAGAGTAAAAAATGGTTCCAGGTGGTAATAAAATGAAGGAACAACAACAAAGAGAGACACTAATAAGTCAGAGAAAGCGAGGGAAGTGCGAAGCATAATGGACTCGTGTCCTTCTTGTGGCCCGTTCTCCATTACCATCACCATCAGCATCACAACTACCACCATCAAGTTGCCCACCACTCCACTAACCATTATCACTGCCACAATCACGATAAGTACCAGCTCACTTATCCGACACGATAGCGGCAGGTAATTCCATGCACCGATCAATCCACGTTCTTCTGGGCAACCTTCCCATGCCACATAATAATCAGGGTAGCAGCAAGGCCAGTGAATGTTCATTGTAAGATAGAATATCTCATCTGCAGCAAATAAACGAATGGGATTATTTTTATGATAGCAGGAAGTGTTATTTATTACTACATTAAAATTGGTTACCCGAAAACGAAGTCCAGCTACCTCGCCGTCGATGAACATATGACTTCCCTGACAAATGGTTCTTATACACTCTCTATTTCCATCAAGAAAATTTATATAATTAATGAATAGTAGTCATCGTGTAGGTGTGGTGAACGTGGGCAACGCTTGGAATGAAAAAAATGCAAAAATTTGATTATTCTCTTGACACAGAGTAAACAAATCCTCGTCTTTACAGTAATTATATCTCATGAACATTGGCAAACAAATGTTAACAAAATTATCGCCGTAGAATACAACAAATATTTTTCTTGAAGTAATTTTAATTTCAGTATACTTTAAGGAGTTACTCCCGTATATCACGTTGTATGCATAAAGACACAGAGATAGAACTGAATTAAACTGGACTCTGTGGTGGTTCCCAAAACATTTATCATCATTTTTTCCAAGGAACGACGATGAGAACTTGACTGGAGGATGGTCGCACAAGAATATAAAGTTATGCGGATTGAATATGAGTTTCAGAAACTTTAATGTGCCAAGAGATCTCAACTGGTTCTCGATGCTCGGGTTTTGGCCGAATAATCCTGGCGTTGTTTGGTTAAAAGTATAAACTGTAACAATGTCTCTATTGTTGATAAATTCTAGCTTGATAGTATTATCACTGTTACCAGCAGCTTGACCGCTGTTGCTGATCGCTTTTGCCTTAGTAATGTGATCTGTGTTAGCAGAAGTATGGTCACTGTTGCTAATTGCTTTCGGTGTTCTAACATGGTCGGTGTTTGCAGTTGGGTGGTCACTGTTGCTGGTACCTGACAGGCTTAATTCGCCATCAGTGTCAATAATGGTAGGAGCTTTATTGCAAATGCCAACCAAGCTGACATCTTCTTGGGCGCCTTCATTCAGAACCTGTGTTGTGCAATCCGTCAAGCCGTCTTCCTTACTTGCCAGCTGGAGTTGCCATAATAAAAAAAATGCAAGGCACAAGGCGCAAGACCTGAGTTTTCTGGAACACGAATCCATCAGCACCTGCAGGAAAAAAAATATCAATATTTTCTGGTGTGTGACCCACGAAATCGTAAGGACACGATTGCAAACAAACCAAACCACAGGCAGGTAGAGAACCCGGGATCTAGTGTATATTATTTTTTCAGCTAACACAATCTAAATGCTGCTCTTTATTGCTAGTTTATACCTACTGCCTCTAAAGTTGATTCTTCCCAAACCGCCTAGATCAAGACAAGACAAAACAAGAGAATTTAGGTATGACCTTTGTAGGGTGAGCAGAGAAGACGGGACAGGCGAAGAATAGAGATAGAGAAGAGTGTCTTCAGTCGTAGGGAAAGTGCCAGGGCTAAACACAGCAGCTTGACACTCGTGAGGTAGAGTGGAACAACAGAAGAAGCAGGCTGTACTTGTGTCAATCATGTGTTACTTGGGAGTCTTGAGTAGCCGACAGCACTCTTGATCACAGGAGAGGACGGCATGTAGAAACAACAGAAGGTAGCTCATATATAGGTGTTATATTGGAAGATGATTAGCGAGGCTGGGTCATAGAGGAGCTATTCCCAGATTTCTTAAAGCTGCTTTTAGAGAGTCGGTACAGTTTTGTTGCCAAAAGTGAAACGGAGTGGTTTAATGAACTTCAGTACCTGGGTAAGTGTGAAGCAAAGTGGAGACTCGCAAGTAAACTTGATAGACCCAACACAGAGCCCTTTGTACAGCTTGTGAAGGTCATAGTGTCCTCATTTGACAGAGACGTGTAGAAAATAAGTTTGTCCCTTGTGGGCGTACTGGTGTGGGAGTCATCATCCTCCTCTTCCTCGGAAGAGGATTCTGTGTGCAAGTCTACAGTGGTACTGGCAGTTGACTGTGGATCGGCAGGATCAGTGGAGAGGTGTTTTGGTGATGTGTCTATTGGCTGAGAAACGTTGGAGGCGGTAGAATCAATGTTATCGCGGATAGATGCAGGTTTCAGGAATAGTTGCTTTGGCTGAGGAAGGAGACTGGTTTGCAGGTGCAGCATAGTTCACAACGTTGGGAAGACTCTTGAAAATGTCGGCTGAAGGTGTGGAGCCAGAGAAATTGAAGGCAGGCATGTTGTTCAGTCGGAATAGTTCGTTTATAGTAGTGTTAAATGTACCAGGGTTTTCTGCATTTGCAAGGTGTGCATACACCATGAGAAACAGCACCTTGGAGGGAGCACTGTCAAGAAGTGGACAGAGTATGCTGAGGTCAGTGGTCACGAAACGTCATCCTCTCCCAGCTGTCTGTAGGATTAGTGTGGAGCGTTATAGAGCACCTTGGCATCTTGTAGTGTTTTCGAATCTCAGGTTAAAGTGTTGAAGGAGGAAGTTCTACTTCTCCAAGAGGAAAAAAGGAGGCTGAAAATTCTCCTAGATGGATTTGGGAGTGAATGTGAGAAAGGTAGAGTCGGTGTGGAGGAAAAGGTTACCAACGGAGAGCTGAAAAGTGGCAACCGCTTCAAGTGGAATGTGGTCTCTACTAAATGTAGAAGTATCACGATAAGGAACCTTAACAGAAAAGATTTGAAGATAGGAAATCGATTCTCTGTTCTGCAGGATGAGTGTACTTCAGTGGTTAGTGAGGTTAAAGGTACGAATAACTCCCCAGCTAATCAAGGTACGCAGATTCTGGTTGTGGGTGACTCACAGGTAAGATATATGGACCATGCTTTCTGTAACAAAGACAGGAACGTTAGACAGACATTGTGCTTCCTAGGAGCTGGTGTTGATGACATAGTCAACAGGTTGGATAATATTTTGTCAGATAATGGGAACAAGCCCATCATCTGTCTTAGTGCTAGTGGAAATGATATCGGGAAGGCAGGAGACAAGAGCTGCTGGGTAAGTACAAGTCAGCCATAGATATAATTAGGTCTAGGGGGAAGGGTACCAATCATATGTAGCATTTTGCATAGAAGGGGAATCTGCAATGAATGGATGTCTAGGGCAATTTATGATAATTGCTGTCTAGAAAGGTACTGCAAATAATTTGCAATCCCGTTCACTGATAACCGGGACAAATTTTATGGCGAACCTAATATGTATGCAAGGGATGGGGGACATCCTTCAGGAGCTGGAGTGGTTGCATTAGCCAATTAGGTTGATGGGGCCATTGCTGACTTGTTTAGGACTTTAAATTGATAGATTATAGAGGTATGGGTGTTTGTGGGAAACAATGAAGCTGCTGTACAAAGGTTGAAAACAGCAGATATTACCAGGATACCTCTGGGATATATTTCAAATACAATATTCAATATAAAGTTGCTGGTAAAGGCAACAAACAGGGACAGTAGATGGCAGAGAGTCACTAGCTCCCTCAAGGTTTACTATACTAAAAGTAGGAGTCTAAGAAATAAGATAGATGAGCTAAGATTACTTGCAAGTGTAGGTAATATAGATATTATTGGTATAACAGAGACCTGGTTCAACCTGAAAGATAGAGAAATGTCTTCTGAATACAACATACAGGGCAATAAACTATTCCATACTGATAGGGTCAACAGGAAGGGTGGTGGAGTGGCGACGTATGTCAGAGATAATTTAAAATGTTGTGTTAGATAACATATAAGATTAGAATCATCGGACACAGATTCTGTTTGGCTACAGTTTCTTGAGGGTCGTGACAAATTAATTTTGGATATGATTTACAGGCCCCAAAATTTAATAGGTACTACAGTTAGCTGCTATGGGACGAATTTCATAAGGCATAAATATGAAAATGTCGAGTTAATGGGAGATTTAAACTTTAGACAAATTGATTTGAATAATATGACAGAAAAACTTGAGTTTAGTGACTTTCTTGAGACGATTAAGTTATGCATTTTAAAAGTTTGACAGAACCAACTATAGGACTCTGGTGGCCTGGTGGTTAACGCTCTCGCTTCACATGGTGAGGGCCTGGGTTCGATTCCTAGCCAGAGTAGAAACATTGGACCTGTTTCTTTCCACCTGTTGTCTATGTTCCCCATCAGTAAAATGGGTACCTGGGTGTTAGTCGACTGGTGTGGGTCGCATCCTGGGACACTGACCTAAGGAGGCCTGGTCACAGACCGGGCCGCGGGGGCGTTGACCCCCGGAACTCTCTCCAGATAAACTCCAGATAAACTCCAGAGAAAACAATCTGCTTGACTTGGTTCTTGCCAACAAGGAATCACTAATTAATAATCATGAGGGGTAATAATGAGCTCGGGGAAAGTTATCACAAATCACTTAGTTTCAATATATCATGGAATTACTCAAATAACTGCAATCAAGTCTCTGTCCTAGACTTCCACTTGGCCGATTTCATGGCACTGAGAAATTACTCACACCCACCCACACTTACGTGTGGGTGGGTGTGAGTTGGACCTTACTAGCTTGTGCTGCTGGGTCTGGTGGAGTGCTCCATCCTTGAGTGAAGGTGACCAGACTGGGTGGGTCATTGGGCTAATCCGGGGGGGGGACATCGACCTGCTCCGCATGGGTCAGTAGGCTTGTTGCAGTGTTCCTTCTTTCTTATGTTCTTATGTTGCTATGTACTTTAAAGTATTGTGACGAACGTGACGACTTGGCCAAACTCACATAAAAATTGGAATTCTCCGTAAAAAAAAATTATTAAAAAATAATTTTTGGACGAAGCCTAACTTGCAAACCTCATCTAACCTAACTCAGAGTATTTTTTTTTTTAGCTAAATTCTATGTATAACATAGGTCATTTTATATTTAACATTTCTTCAAATCATTCTGTTAATTAGGCATAGAATGTTTTTTGCCGCACCTAATAACCGAATGGATCAATTATGCAGAACTGCCTAAAAAATTAATGTTTAATTTATGGAGAAATATATATTTTTTTTTATTGAAAGTAAATTAATCTTTACTCTTTTTTTTTTGTTAAAAAAATCCCTGTTTTTTTTTTAATTTCTCATCAAAGTTTCTTAT